TGCAAATAAAACATCCGGAGATAAGCTTTGTAGCTTACACCATTCAGACTGAATCTGTATTGCTTTGGATCTGTATCCAAAATTCTGTCCATTGCATCATAGTGCCTCTTTCTTCTATTTTTATTTTTAAACCCATTATTAATGTATTTTTAAATAAATGGAGTAGAAGAGAAATACTAATTATTATGAGAAAAAAATTAAAAAGAGCTGTTCTAACGTTAAAGTGGTTGCCATCAAGAGACATTCGTCTTTGTCAACTTTACTTTCCTTCCATTCAATTGTGTCCGATTCTTGGAGACTACCTGGACACGCCCATGTAGTTTTCTTAGGAAGGTTCTCAAAAGTGGTTTGTCCTTGCCGCCTCCTTAGGGCTAAGAGTGACTGGTCCAAGGTCACCCAGTCTTTCTAGTTTCTAGCCTGGTGCCTTCACCACTATACCAAACTGGTTCTCTTCCCAATTATATAAGATCATAAAGAGATCAGGAAAATGTTGTGCTTTAAAATTTTATACATATAAAATGTAGCTGGAATTGTGAACCATGTTAAGTCAACTATAAGGGCTGATTTAAGAATATTTAATCCATGAAACCTTTTTTTTTACAATTAACACCAATAGATGTTGGCAGGGGTGGAAAGATATTGGCTGATGGGTGTCAAAGCAGAGTAATCATAAGTTATTACACGGTGTAATACATTGTCACTTCTCTTGTTTTCCTTTCCTTTTGTTGAAGTTTGTAGTGACTTCCACATTCAGGCACACGGGCAACGCTTTGGAGCTTCTCAGTAAAGATCATCTTTCTTGATTCTAAACATCTGTTTTGCAGTGAAACTAATAATGATGTTGGCTTCTGAACATTGAAAACCACAGAAGGTGCCAAGTGAATAGCTAGCGTAATGTGTGTTCTGTTCCAAAGGGTATTAGTAATCACTTCAAAAGGAAATGTGGGTACCTCACCCTTTGTGGTTCTTCCAGACTGAGGAAGACATTTTGGTTATTCAAGGAGAAGGACATTGCCTGAGAGGCTGCAGAATGAGCACAGCCAATGCATTTTCTCCCAACAATAGGAAGAGTCCATGGAGTACGCCTCAGCCAGAGAAAATTACGGATCTGGCTATCCATATTGTAAAATTAGGTGCTGAAATTTGAGGCATTAGCAAACTATATTTGAGAGTGGGAAATGAAGAGAGAGTGATGAAAAGTATAGGTAGCACAATTGGGACCAGAATTTCCATTGCTAAGTGAGTTGGGTCTGGTTTTATGATTTTTTTTTTGTCATGGTTGTTAAGCAAACTATTCCAGTTGTTAAATGAATCATGTCATTGAGCAAAACTGTTTCCCCTATTATCCTTGCTTGTTGGAAGTTGGCTGGGAAGGTTGAAATGACGATCACATGACTGAGGGACACTGCAGCCGTCGTAAATACATGCTAGATGCCAAGAGCCGAATTTTGATCACGTGACTGGGATGCTGGGATGTTTATATGTGTGGGGTCATAAATCACTTTTCAGTGCCGTTGTAACTTTGAACAGTGAATGGTTGTAAATTGAGAACTGTCTGTAGCCGAGAAGATCATAGCCGTTTATCATGGGTGGGGTTGGTTGAACAGTGATTACCGCTTTGTCACCAGAATTTGTATATTGCTGGGACCATACTTTCAAAATCCCAGTAATTAAGTTCAGCACAAGTATTAAAAGAAGGATAAAAGGTACTTGCCTTAAAGATTAACTCTTATTTGATCCAGACTCTAAATTTGCTTACCAGCAAATTTGCAAAGCTAGCATTTATCACTATTAACTAAAATAATAATGAATGCCTCATTTAAATGAGGTTGACCTTTGATAATATTGCCTGTACTGTCATTGTATTTCTACTTTTTTGCTCTATTTTATTATATTTCATAGCAAGGTCACAAAAATAAACTGAATTCAAACATACAGGTAAATAGGCGAAACGAACAATGAAAAGCTGGAAGAAGTTCATGATCTACAAAATGCCCAGACCTAAAAAGAACATAGAGTATAAAAAAGAACCACTACAGCTAAAACAAAAAGAACCTAACTAAAATTTAAAAGCTGTTTTACCACTAATTTTACATGGAGAGTTAGTTTTAGTAGAGATATCTGGGGTGGGCGAGGGGGGAAGACTGCTGGCAAGTGAATTCAGGATCTGGAATTAATAAGAGGCAGTATGTGTTTTAAAGCAAGTGTCTTTTATCTTCCTTTCTAATGTTTGTGTTGAGCTTCGTGAACTGCATTGATATTATTTGAGCATTTCTGATTCCTCATAACTTGGTGAGCACAAGACATTTAGGCACGTGAGGATTTTAATTCCATGTTTTTCATTTTGAAACCTTGCCTATTTTTTTTTTCCTGAGGTAAAAAAACCCTGCAAGTCTCTGAAATTTATGTTCCAATAAATTTTGAAGATGTTTGAGAGTTATTATGTTCTTGTTTTGTAGACCTTAAGTTTGTTTAAGTTTGGTTGTGGGATATAGGCAGCCTTTCTTTGAATAAATCTCTGTATTCACAGTATCAACCTTTTTTTAAAAAAAAATGCACAAGAGGCAAAAGAAAAAGGGACTGCAAATATTTCTCTGACAATTTGAATTTTAGCTAAAAATTTAACTGATCTTTAAGCATTTGACATTGTATATCTACTTGGTTTTTCCTTTCTGGTGTAGTCTATTACATCCCTGTTTTGACAGCCTGAAAATTCATTTTGTACTTTTTTATCTGGTTCTATACTTGTGTTTTGCAATGAGCCTAAAATCTGGTATGGTTTATCGTGCCTTAGATGTTTATCGTGCCCAAATAACCAGGGAGGACAGCTTTGTAATTAAAACGTAAGCCTGTAATGTAGAAGCTGTAATTGTGGTCAGAGGCTTGACTGGGAATAGAACAAGGCAAGAAATTCCGCACATTATAGAAACAGCAACATGAAGAACGATATCCATGGGGTGCCTAGTGAGAATTGCTAACCTAATCTACGCTAACCCCATAGCAGAAACTTTACCATCCCTGGTCACTGTGGAGCAACATTTTGCTGCAAATATTCCCATATTAATCAGAAATAAGAGCAAATTCTGAAATCTAGAGAGGGGTGGCAAAAGAGAAATACAATGATGGAAAGGCCCCAAATTACATGCCATCTTCAAAAACCTTGGAGGACATTCCTGGAGTCCTCCAGAAGTTGTCACCAAAGTTTCAGTGTAATAGAAAGAAGAAACTGATCCTGTACAGTTGCTTAAGTGTATTAAATACAGTTTGGCTTGTAGTCAAGATTACAGAAGTGTAGTGGTACAGATGAGCATATTCAGGAGTCGGCTATTAAATCTTTCCAGATTGAAGTTTAAGAACATTTTATCCCCATAATCCCTGCTGTAACTGACATTTATTTTACTAGAAGATAATAATAGTCCAAAGTTTAGGATTTGGCATACAATTGAATCATTGCAGAGATTACCCAATGACTTGGTTATCTCTTGCTGTAGGCGGAAGCTTTAGGGAGTATAAGAAATAGCAGCTGTGTATATGAAACTGTCTTTCTCTCCACAGCCTCTTCCCCCATTCATGGTTTAAACTCCGAATAGGAACAAACATTAATTTTGAGATTTCTGTACCGTCTCCTTCTTCCATGTTATAATAAATAGCCATTGTGGAAATGATTTGTTATTCTAGTCTGTCTTACTTACTTACTTACTTAATTACTTACTTATTTGCTTACTTACTTATTAATTAAATGTATCCAGCAAATCTTGGTGGCATGGTAGATATCCTTGCAGTTTGAATGCTTTTGCTTCAGGTTTGAGTGAGTTGGTGTGATATCATAGTAAATGGTATAGTCTGGATTTATTGGAATTGTAATTTTTCAGGGAAAAACCAAGTATATTGTTATTTCTCTTGACACTCCCTATGAGAGGAACCCAGTGACTAAGCCAAGAGACCTTCATTCATGGTTTCTGTTAAGAAGTCAGACTGGTAAATGAGGTTTTGTTTGTGACTTATTGAATCAGACTTGTTCAGGGAGAAAAAGGACAGGGATTCTGATTCAGATGTAATGGTGAAGCACCTGCTAACAAGGTTTCTCTAGTTCTTCCTCTAGTTTGGTGGCGTGGGCCTGGTGGGTATATTTTAACAGATTCTAAAACGCTTGCTTATTCCCAGTTATGCATAGTTCCAAATTATGGCTTCCTATTCAGTGGTGGGATTCATTTTTTTTTATTACCGGTGCTGTGGGCATGGCTTGGTGGGCGTGGCAGGGGAAGGATACTGTAAAAGCTCCATTCCCACCCAACTCCAGGCGGAAGGTTACTGCAAAATCCTATTCCCTCCCCACCCCACTAACCTGATTTCCAGCTCCGTCCTTCTGTGACTTGAGAGGCAGAAAATAGATGGGGGAGGGGCCAGTCAGAGGTGGTATTTGCCGGTTCTCCAAACTACTCAAAATTTCCACTACCGGTTCTCCAGAGCTGGTCAGAACCTGATGAATACCACCTCTGTTCCTGCTATGTTGAAATTGAGCCATTGTGTTATATATGGGCTCTTACTGAAGAACATTGCTAAGCTAAACTGGCTTCTGCTTGGATGGGGATACCACCAGGAAGTCTCTACCAGGAGAAACCACCAAGGATACAAGGTACATTAGGAAGTCAAGGCATTCCCAGAAGAAAACTTTGCTTTTATTGCCTAAAAAGCCTAACAACTAAATATAAGACTCCCCGTGACATATCTATCTCTTGATTATGCATGTTTTACACATAGTATTAATAACTCTTTGATGATATTTGTATAAATTGATATTTAAATGTCATTACAAAAATTACGAGCGCCTTGCAGCAAAACGTTCGTAGTAGTAAAACCGTGGATATAAATAAATCCATAGTAGAGATGCTGCGAAAGTGATTGTGCAGCAGTGAGGGCAGAACTTCCATCTTTTCAATCTTTTCAGTGGTTTTTTTTTTTTTAAATAAACCTATCTTCCTTTTTTTTTTTAACTTCAGGTAAAGAACAGTCTTCCTTGGAGGCAAACATGTTGCCAACGCCTCTGCCTTCTCTAGCTGGTTTTGCTAAAGAGTCCAGCTCTTCCAGGCATGGTGAGCACCATCACCACCACCACCATGAACACAAGAAGAAGAAGAAGAAGCACAAGCATAAGCATAAGCACAAGCACAAGCATGACAACAAGGAGAAGGAGAAGGAGCCCTTCACTTTCTCCAACAGCCCAGCCAGTGGGCGGTCCATTCACTCGCCCTCCTTGTCAGACTGAGGCAAAAGATCCTGGGATGGGGAGAGCCTTGGTGGGTCATCATGATCAAAACCAAGATGCCACAGGAGTCCAGGACTTAGACAAGATCCCAAGTTGCTCTTCTGTTGGTCAGAGGCGTAGTGATCACACTCATACCGGGGAGGAAAGAAATGAAGGTTTAGGAATATTTCAAAACGTTCCTCCAGCTGCCTGCCTTATATTCTCATTAATACCTGTGTGTGTTGAACCTCAAATGGCTGCCATGATGTGAAGTAAGAATTAAAGGGAAGCCTGATGCCCAACCTTCTCAAAAAGCTCCTAATGCTTGGTACAACGTTGTAGAACATAATTTGAGCTTCCTGAAACTTTTATAGAAATTTTTATTTTTATTTTATTTTCTTTATATTCCTTAATTGTTTCAACTGTCCCACCACTTTTAAATTCTTTGAATGGTTGCTTGCTCAAAAGATTTCTGTTTTTAATGTTGAGCCTTTTTTTAAAAAAAAAATGGATTTAACTTGTTTGAACATTGCAACCTTTGACAGTCAAGTCTATTGGATTGTTTACTTTGGCAAGGAAAAAATTGCTATCTATACGGCGCTCTGTAATCAGACTCATAACTGAGCAACCGAGTTTAAACAAAAATTACAAAACTGGCAAGAGAAGCTCTACCTTAGAATACCGATTAAGGGATCGACATTTAAAATACAGTTGTGGGAGAGACGACAGCGCAAAACGTTCTAGTTTCTAATCAAATGGATGGGAAGTACTCGAACAACGCTTTTAAATGTATAGCAAATAAAACATGAAGCTGTGATTTAAAGAGTTTTATTCATTGTAATAAAAACACCCAGCAGGTATTCTCTTGAAAAGCTCTTAATTATGTAAAACAGGACTGCTTTTAAACTTTTTTACTCAATTCTGTGTAATATTAGTGCTTTTTTTTTGCCCTGTTCCTAATTTTCTAAAATTTGGGTTGTCTTCACACTAGTCCGGTGTGGTTTTTTTCTTGAGTATTCAGCCTTAAGGCTAAACATTTTTATAATTTTCTGTGCATCTTTCCTTGTTTCAGTAGACAATGCTGGTCTATAAAAGATGATTAAGTAAAGTAGCTAAAAAGATTGTTTTTTAAAACAAAAAAATAAGGCCATTTGTTAATAAACTTTTTGTACAATGCACTATTGAATATTCTGAATTCTGGCTTTTGTATACTTAGTGAAGATGAGGAAAAGAAAAATAGGTGTCACCATGGAAGTTGGGTTTTTTTTTTTTCATGTCCTGTTGTTGCTATATTAATCCAAAAGTGCATTATTATCTCTATTAAATCTTTGGTGTACGATTGTAAAGATATGCTATATACTTTCAATTAGTATAGAAGTTATGGTTTTTAGCAGGAATCTACACTAGTCTGATGCATCGTTTTCTTCCTTCAAGCTTCGGGTTTTTTGCTGCAATTGGTTTTTGTTGCTGTTCTGTTCTGTTTTTGCTACTGCTGACAGTCACAAATTTGATTTACTTAGAAAACAATAGTGTGCTGTGCAACAGGTGTTCAAAAGAGCATCTTGGTATTAGATAACATCCGTTGAATCTAGAAGTGTAAATAGGTTCCCTGTTTTATATTCAAAGAAAGCCGCAGCTACTTACAACAACTGAAATCCATTTCTGTATTTCATGGGTTTCATTGAATTTATTTTACCATTTAAAATGTTTACGCCACCCTGAATCCTCATAATAACTGTCATTTATTATTCATTTATTAAGTTCAGCAAAAAATACAGAACATTAAATCATTAAATGTTCAAATTAAGAGAAATTAGATAAGTTAGAAACCAGAATACCACCGTCTGGAGTTGGGTCCCCCCCCACCCCGAAATCCGCTATCCGCCTCCAGCATAGAATGCCCCTATCAGGGTCCCAGGCCAATCAGCCCAGCCAGATTTTGAGGCCCTTTTGGGAGGCTAAGGGAATGAGGATGAATTTCATCTCAAAGGCTCAATGTTCAAAGAATGGGAGCTGCAGCAGAAAGGGCCTCTCCCTCGGACCATCTGGTTGGTTATCCTAGGAACTGACTACTGGCCAAAGTACGCTTTTGTTCGATTCAGTAGAACTCCTCTTACTGTGTTGTATATAAGTAAATTAAAAATTTTGGATACTCTTATAGAATGTTCCCGACTGGAACCTACTTTGGTCATTCATTAAGGCGAAACCAACCTTGCCTATTTCAAAGCACTCATGTTAGTGAGGAAGAGTAATTGGGATGAGAGTAGAGGCTCCCCTCATTTTCTTCCCCTGGCCTCATTGAGGTTACAGCTGCACACAAAGGAACAACACCTTCAAATCCTTAAAAGCTCACAAGCTTTGGATATGTTCTTTATTTAAGTTATAAAAAACTCAAAAGAGGCTCATAAAATAAATACAGACCAGGTGCTAGTTCATTAGAAGCCTGGCGATGTTATACTCTCCATGACAGTTGTTACTTTAAGTTATTACAGTCTTTGATATTATTAAAATATATACATTGCTGTTCAGCCATCATCCCATGGCGCTTTACTGAAAAGATCACTGTTTTTAAAAAATTAACTAGAACTAAACAATTGCAGTAGGCTAAAATAAAGCTGCATAAAGAGAAAATATAAATATCAGGTGACACTTGAAATAAGAATAGTATTGCTCCAGCTGATCTTTGGATTATGTACTTATCTGCTTGTCACTGCAGGTGGCAATATCTAGCCACCTTAATCTGGTCACAAAAACTCTTAAGCAGGATCAGTCCTAGTTAAGACTTCAGTGGGAAACCTAGCCAGGGAATCCGAAATCTGTAAACTAGTTTTGGAATTACAAAGACGTGTTCATAAGTCACTAATTAACTTAAAGGAGACAAAGCAAAAAGTTTATATAATTGGATGTATATATAATGAATGCAATGATTTATGAAAATAGCAGAATTGAATTCTAACCAATTGTGTGTAAAGGATGTGCTGGAAACTGCTATGGAACCAAAAAGAAATAATTCCAGTAGTTGACAGGCATGAAAAACTGGTGCTAATTCTGTGTCTATACCAGATGGACAAGGATCTACTGTATCTCAACTATTTTACCAGTTCAAAACCAGCTATATTTCAGAGCTGGTAAGAAATGATTTTGTAAGAAGAAAATGACAAAAGTCACTCCATAATGTCCCCAGCCCAAGTCACCATCTGCAAGTAACGGGAGAATGTAAGACCTCTATTGGATGATCTATTCTAAGTTGTTGTATAAGCAGTCTTCAACATAGCCTGGGTTTAAACCATTTTAAGATTTTGAAACTACTAAAATGGTGCATCATAGAACTTTATAAATGCAGCATGTATTATATTGGTCACGGCCTCCCCAGCTGTGATGAGATATATTTCTACTTAGCAGTAATAATGTCCAAATTGGCATCTTTCTATATAATTTTATGCAAATCTCTCTGTTTCTTACTCCTCCCTTTTCAGTGTTTTTTTCCTCTTGTGTGGAAAGTCCTAAGCAAACTGATAGATTTACCTTGTTCTGTACAAGTTCTTATCAAATCTTCAGAAGAGACTGATGAGAAGAGTATAGCTAATATTCAAAGCAATCTTGAGATATTGGGAAGCAGGGTGAAAGTAACAGAACAAGAAATAGAACAAGAAAAACAGTATACTATAACGTTCATTGTTTAGGCAAAATAAATGAATGCATGATAGGGAGATTCCTGGCTTTTTTTTAAAAAAGGGTATGTGGAAAAGATCTTGGAGTTCTAGCTGTTTACAAGTTGAATATCAGTCAATGACATGACTGCTAAGAGCAGCAAATAAAATATTTCTGTTAAGGCAGAAACCAATAGCTCTGTGTGTTCTGTACTGGTGAGACTCCGGTTTGTGTACTATATACAGTTCTTGGTTCCACATTTCAGCAATAGTGTAGAGACTGGAACAACTGCAAGACAATCAAAATGATCAAGATGGAAACCAGGTTGCCTGAGGAGAGACTGTTCAAACTGGATATGCTTAATACAGGTAGTTCCTGACTTATGACCACAATTGGGACTAGAACTTCTGACCCTAAAAAATCTGATTGCTACGTGAATGGCACCCAATTTTACCATTTTTGCTGTGATTGTTAAAACTCATCCCATGATCATTAAGCAAATCTAGCATTCCCATGGACTTTGCTTGTCAAAAGCCCTCTGAGAAAGTCACAAATGGTGATCGCATGGCCCCGGCACAACCATCGTAAATACATACGCTCTAGTTGCCAAGCGGCCAAATTTTGATCACAGGATTAGGAACTTTGTGAGTTGGCTGAGGACCAGTCATAAATTTCAGTGGAATAACTTCAAATGGTCACTAAATGAATGTAAGTTGAGGACCACCTGTACAGTAATAATTCTAGATATCTCAAATGTCATACAGAAGGAAATCAAAAGTGGTTCCCTGTTGTTTCAAAGTGTAGATATGGATTAATGGATTTAAGTGACAAGAAGGCAGTTTTTATGGATTTAAGGAAAAATTCCTCGTAAGATTATTGTGACAGTGGAACCGGTTACCCAAGCAGGTAGGATCACCTTTTTTATGGCTTGTTCAAAGTAATGATAAATTGGAGGTGCTTTTATTTTGGATTCCTGCACTGGATTGGCAGGATAGTTTTAATGTTGGGTGGTTTTCCAACACCAGCATTCTTGAAATCTAAATGGAGCCCGTATCTTTTAACGGCTATCAGATGTTTGTTTGTTTTTTTTCATTCCATTTTAGAGACAGAATGCCTCAGAATAACAATTTGTTCCCTAAAAGATGAAAATAAGAAATCTGGTCCAACATGAGTTACTTTTCAATTTCCAGAGTTCCATCTTCGCCACTGAAATAATGGACCTTGGTCTGATGACCCTGTGGTGATTTTCCTATTTTCTCACAATGAGTTTCCACATTATACTACACTTCTTGACAGTCAGATGAGTTAATTACCATGTGAAGTCAGGTTTTTTTTTACCTTTAGGGATATGCCAGGTCTTCAGTGGAGCTAATGGTAATTCCCAAAGAGATCTAACAGTGGAATATATCTTTGGGGGTACTCAGGCCACTGAATCAGAGGTGGTATTCAGCAGGTTCTAACCAGTTCTGGAGAACCGGTAGCGGAAATTTTGAGTAGTTCAGAGAACCAGCAAATCCCACCTCTGACTGCCCCTTCCCCCATCTATACTCTGCCTCCCGACTCCCAGCTGATTGGCTGGTTCTTCTTTTGTTGCCCTGCACAGGAGAACAGAGCTGGAAAGCAGGTTAGTGGGGTGGGGGAGAGAATGGGGATTATACAGTACCATTTCCCTGCAGTGGGGTGGGAATGAAGTTTTTGTTGTATCCTTCCCCTGCCACACCCACCAAGCACGCCCACAGAACTGGTAGTAAAAACATTTGAATCCTACCACAGGTGGAGACGGAATGGAATTTTGCAGTAACCTTCCCCTGCCACGCCCACCAAGCAACACCACGCCCACCAAGTAA